CTCGATCCCAGGACCCTGGGATCATGACCTGAGCCGAAGGCAGACAGTTAACGACTGAGCCACCCATGCGCTCCAGAGTTTTCTACATTGCAGTAGGACAAGGGGCCAAAAACTTTTTCTGTAAGGGGCCACCCAGTAAATATTTTAAGCTTCCCAGGTCACATGCAGTCTATTGCCTCATTGGTTTATTTGTTTGTTTGCTTATTTATTTATTTCTCTTTCTTTCTTTGAATCCTTAGAAAGGTAAAATCCATTTTTAGCTGGTGGGCCATACAAAAACAAGTTGCAGGCTGAATTCGGCCTACCTGACAAGTTTGCTAACTCCTGTGATTAAAAATGTAGTGTATAAAGTAAAATGAAAAATAGCTCTTCTTATAGATGCAAGGATGTCTGAGTGGGAGACAGATTGTGATATAAACATATTACAAACGACCAATGGGCAAAGCAAAATGGCCCCGGCCACCCTACTTGTGGCTACTCTGATTCAAAATATTCTTTCTTCAGCAGGATCAAAGCTAAACATTCAACCTTGTCCCCACTGCCCACTGGCATTCACTAGTCAGCAAGGCCTCAGCCAGCATGTGTGGTTCAGTCACCTTCCTCAGCTCTTCTCAAGTTTATGTGCAGGAAACCATCTCCCCCTGGGGAAGCACTATCCAGAAGATCAAAACCAGCAGCAGAAGCAACTCTTTGATCAAACCTGCTGGAGTGACAAAGCAGAAATTCAAGAGACAGAAGAAGACTCCAAGCCCTTGTTGGGGAGAGTAAGCAAAAGAGGCACTTCAGAGGCGTTGTCCAGCCCACGGCAAGAACAGCCAGTAAGGTCCAAGCAAGACAACACAGCGGTGGACACAGGGCCCAGCCGAGACCAGAGGACAGACCTTGGGGGAACAGACAAAGTGTTGCATGGTGTAGAAGTCTCAGGATTTGGAGCAATCAAATATGGGGAGTTTGGGCTAGGCTTTATGAGGGAGTCAAACCTGCTCAGCCTCCAGAAGATGCACACAGGGGAGACACCTTACATGTACTCCGAGTGGGGACGGAGCTTTAGCAATATGTCAGCCCTCATGAAAAACCAGAGGACACCCTCTGGGGACAAGCCTTATGTGTGCAAGGAATGTGGACGAGGCTTTACCTGGAAGTCAAACCTCATCACACACCAGAGGACACACTCAGGGGAGAAACCTTATGTGTGCAAGGAGTGTGGACGAGGCTTTACTTGGAAGTCAAACCTCTTCACACACCAGAGGACACATTCAGGGGTCAAGCCATATGTGTGCAAGGAATGTGGGCAGAGCTTTAGCCTGAAGTCAAACCTTATCACACACCAGAGGGCACACTCGGGGGAGAAGCCTTATGTTTGCAGGGAGTGTGGGCATGGCTTTCGCCAGCATTCACATCTCATCAGACATAAGAGGACACATTCGGGAGAGAAGCCCTATGTGTGCAGGGAGTGTGAGCAAAGCTTTAGCCAGAAGTCACACCTCATTAGGCACTTAAGGACACACACAGGAGAGAAGCCTTATGTATGCACAGAATGTGGGCGCCATTTTAGCTGGAAATCAAACCTCAAGACACACCAGAGGACACACTCAGGGGTTAAACCTTATGTATGCCTGGAGTGTGGGCAGTGCTTTAGCCTGAAGTCAAACCTCAGCAAACACCAGAGGTCACACACGGGGGAGAAGCCATTTGTGTGCAGGGAATGTGGGAGGGGCTTTACCAGGAAATCAACCCTTATCACACACCAGAGGACACACTCAGGGGAAAAGCCATTTGTATGCAGGGACTGTGGGCGAGGCTTTAATGATAAGTCAACCCTCATTTCACACCAGAGAACACATTCAGGGGAAAAGCCTTTCATATGCAGGGAGTGTGGTAGAAGGTTTAGCCAGAAGCCAAACCTATTTAGGCACAGGAGGGCACACTCAGGTAGCATACCCTTTGAGTGCAGGGAGTGTGGGCAAGGCTTTTGTGATAAGTTAACTCTCGTCACACACCAGAAGGCACACTCAGGGGGGAAGCCTCACGTGTGCAGGGAGTGTGGGCAAGGCTTTAGCCGGCAGTCACACCTTATTAGACATCAGAGGATACATTCGGGAGAGAAGCCTTATATTTGTAGGAAGTGTGGGCGAGGCTTTAGTCGGAAATCAAACCTCATCAGACATCAGAGGACACACTCAGGATAGAAACCTTGTATGTATGAGTGTAGTGAAATCTTTAACCAAGACTCATACGTCATGAGATGCCAGAAGTCACACCTAGGGCTGTGGCTTTAGTAGTAAGTCAGCCATTGCCAGACACCAAGGTGGAGACATCTTATGTGTGACAGGAGTGTTCACGAGCCTCATGGTAAGAGTCCACATCTCCAGTCCACATGAAGGAGAACTGCTGGCTCATTTTCAGGAGCTTGGCATTCCCTGATGGGGTTGGTGGGTTGTGGAAGATCTGTCAGGTAACGTGATGGAAGGGGTACTTTTAAGTAGGTTGAAATTAGGGAATGGAGGCTCTTCTAATGTCATTTCCCAAGAATACTTGGACACTCCTTATACAGTAGCCTGGATGTTAGAGAAACAGCAACACTAGAGCTCATCTCTTAATGTCTGCCTTACCTTCTGAGAACAAGAGACTTGACAGAAACCATGGCCGACTTAGTCTTGGTTTCCCAGAGCATGACCCAGCAGAGTCAGCTTCAGGGAGAGTTTGGGAAAGGGTGAATACATGGGATCAGAGATGGTGCATGGGTAGAAGAAGGTTTTATTATGCAAAGAGCTGACTGGTGAGAAAGACTGTGACTATCCTAGCTCTAGGTTTTGGGAAGAAGTATCCATTTTTGCTTGTTTCCTGGGACCCTCTCTGGTTTCCAAGTTGAATCCATACTGAAGATATTTTTATTTACTGGTGTATTTAAAACTAGAAATGTATCCTATGCTTTCATGAAGAAAACACACATATACAGAAATAGAAAATGAAATTACTTTCTATTCTTCTTTGAATTACCATACTACATCCCACAGGTAATTCTTTGGTTTAAATCTTTCCAACCATTGTAAAATATATGATTTTTCTGGTTTGGAATACTCTCTTTTTGAGAATGGTGGTGTCCCACAGATTCATGTATAATTCTGAGCCAAGGCCCAATTTTTTTTCACAGAAGTTGACTAAATGATTCTGAGTTTTATTTGGAAAGTAGAATTTTGAGGAATGGTGGGATATTAAGGACTGTATAATAACATGTCTTTTTATCTGTGGACAGATACCTAGAATAGAACCATATAAAAATAGAAAAACTCACTTGTATATGAGTATTTAGAAAGTGAGGAAGCAGGATTTCAAGTTATTATGAAAATAGCAAGTACAAGATTCAGTGTTTGGGTCGTTGGCTCTCAACTGAGGGAAAAAATAAACATAGGTTCCAAAGTCTCAATATCCAAAGTTAGAGTTAGGAAATCACTAGCTCAGATAATATGAGGTACAGAGGTCTTTTTAATTGAATTTAATTTTTTATTTTAAGTAGGCTCCATGCCCAACATGGGGCTTGAACTCACAACCCTGAGACTGAGTCACATGCGCTAGTGACTGAGCCAGCCAGGCACCCCAATGTGTAGGAGTCTTAGTTTTCGTTCAAAATCTAAGTTTCAGTGGAGTGAGAAGAACCTGGTGAAGAATTATGGAATATTATCCTAGATGGAGCTGCTGGTGTGGCTTGCCCTTCTCATTCCTTCCCATGGTAAATCCTGGCCTGCTGCTATTTCTCCTTCTCAATAGAAAAATACTTTTGAGAGTTTTAATCTCTTTGCATCTTAGAATTGAATTACTCTTTTCCATAAAATGATGTCACAAAAATAAGGATTCCAAAAGTAAACATGTATCTTTTTTACTGTTTTTTTTTTTAACTTTAAGAAGAAATATTTCAGTTTTCAATGTAATCAGTCTGTAAATCCAAAAGATCTTGCCTTAAATTATTTAAAATTCTCAACAACAAAAAATAAAGCATTGCTGATATCTGAAGATTCAAACAGATTGAAAGAGACTCAAACCCGGGGAGGCATTTATATAGAACAGCAACCAAACAGAGACCGGAAATGGTAGAAAGATGCCCTACACTTTGGCCCTACCCAGTGTCCACCTGTACTGATTCTTAAATCTGCATTAGATCCTCTGCTTAGAACCTCTCAGAAGACAGAATTGGAACAGGCCACCTGAGTTCTCCACTTGGGCCTAGCATTAAAACCTGTGTGCAAGTCTGGAAGCTGATTAGGAGGCAAGCACCGGATGGTGTTCATATATGTGAATCTTCAAAATCTTACGGTTTTCTTTTTCTTTTTTTTTTTTTTAAAGATTTATTTATTTATTTGAGAGAG